ATTTTCTAGTATTTCATTTATTTTATGTTTACTCAGTTTTATTGAGCACGAGCGTTAAAAAATCTTAGATTTCTAACTTCTTTCACATTGGAGATGTAGAATTATAATTATTGTAGAATACCTTTTTCAAACGTAGGTCTTTTAGAAACTATTTAAAATTGTTGTCTAATTAAGTTTAGCATCAGGAAGGGGACATTTGATTGGTTGAACACAAGAAACGGAAGAGAGCATTTATCGAAATCACAGAGCTCTAGTTTCTGTGACTTTTCAAATTAGAATTGTACTCAACTGTGCGTAGAAGTTCGCAGACCGTAAAGTTCTTGTGAAGGAGGTATTGTGGGAATTGTCTGAAAAAAACAGCTATATATGTCATCAAATCGTGCCACTGTGAAGGCGTGGTTAATGAAAAAATGTGTTTCTTACATCATTATTAAATAAATGAGAGTTTACAACAACTGTGATTTTCTCTCTCTCTCTCTCTCTCTCTCTCTCTCTCTCTCTCTCTCTCTCTCTCTCTCCTTCGTTTTGGCGATTACCCATATATTTTCTTTTTTTGTCAGAAAAAAAATGACTTGAAACTTTTCATATGCAAAGTCATGGAACAATTTATAATTGCCCAAGGTTGTGGTTGTGTTAGAAAGTGCACCTGGAAAATGAGGCATTATTTCTTTTGTGTTAGATATACGATGTCATAGATTCATCGATGATAAAATGTAAACAAATAATGAGAAGTATTTTAATACCGCGTTAAACTAAGTCTTCATTGCTTTTAAATCAGTTAAGTTTATTTGTATTTTCTCACAAGATGAGTATGAAATTATGACTTTATGAAAGCAAAATGTATTTGTGAAACACTGATACCACAGTGATATGGTAGCTTTTAGCAAGAATTGAATTTTATCAAGTGCAAGACAAACTCCAAAGTGAAGGTCAAAAGATCAAAATTGTTGATATTACAAGGAAGGTCTTGTTACAAGAAATACACTTTTGAAATATGAAAGCTCTAGTACTAACTGTTAAAAACTTTTTTGTTTTGTTTTGAACATATTTTATTGTATAATTCATATAAAGGGATTGGTAATAAGTTCTTGCAGCTTAGAAAAACCTTTCCCTGTAATATATACAATAATTATTATTATATTGATTGCCAAAAAAATTATTAACGATTGAAAATGTAAAGTTATACATATACATGATGTATATACAAAATATTCCAAAGACATTTATTAAAGATTCAGAGTTCTTACAATGTGTAAATCTAAAATGATACATGTAAATAATTACAATGACAATAATACTTGGGAACGAAAACATAAATGACAAGAATGATAATAAATAATAAACATGATCACAAGTAAAATTCTCACATCATAAACAATCAAAGTTGTACATATGTGATTAAATGAGAGAGAAACAGAAAAAGAAAAGATCAAAAATCTACCCGAATCACGACTGAACTTTTGGACACAGTGAAATATTTTATTATTCACATCAACAGACAAGGAATCATTTCCGAATAATAAAAGATTGGAGTTGATTATTGTCAAGTGATTGTATTGTAAAATATTGTTTAAGAGGCAATTTCTTGGCCGCTCATATTTTTTCCATGCAAAAAAGAAATGGTATACATCTTCAATTTGTCCGCATGAACAATTAGGAGAATCATATATATTCCTTCGATAAAGATCATAATAATTATTAAGTATACCACAATGCCTTAATTTTGTGTGAATTATATTTAAATAGCGTTTCCCATTTGAAAAATACGAAGGCGGCTTTGAGGGGTTTGAGCATATTCTTGTTTTAAATTTACTAATACAAGATGTTGATGCTGTGTCTCTCACATCTTTAGGTAGGGAATTCCAGGAATTAATTGCAGTGGGGACAAAAGATTTTTTTATACGTTTCAAATCTACATTTAGGAATAGAGTAGTCTTCTGTGTTTCTTATGTTATAAGAAGATTCAATTCCACGAGTTTTTGGAAATATTTGTTTGAGATAATCGGGTACAGCATTGTTGTGTAATTTAGACATAGTAGTTAACTTAGCTGTTCTTCTTCTTGTAACAAGGGGTTCCAATCCTGTTTTTGAATAGAGAATGTCTCTATAGTAACAAAAATTGGGAGACCAGTGATGGTTCTTGCAGCAGCTTGCTGAACTTTCTCTAATTTTTCTACATCATAAAGTGTACAGCCGTCCCAGACAACAGAAGCATATTCGAGATGAGGCCTGACAAAAGTTGTATACATTTTTAAAAGAGTGTTTCGTCGAAGAGTGAATTTAAGCTTTTTCAAAAGGCCAAGCTTTTTATATGCAGTATTTACAACGCTATCTATGAAAGCTCTAGTACTAACTGTTATAGCCAAGGTGAAAAGTGGGTCTATAATGTCAAAAATATTTAAGCCAATTGAAAGGTCTTGTCAAAAGGAATATACATCTGCAGTATGAAAGCCCTAGAATCAACTGTTCAAAAGTTGTAATCTAGGTTAAAGCTTGCTAAGTTTTGGTAATATGGTAAAATCCAAGGTCTCTTTGTCTGTAAAAACTTTTACCTTGCGCATAACTTTTGATTGAGTGGAGATAAGACTCTCATATTTTACTTCTGTATTCCTTGTGACAAATACTATCATATTTGACGTCTTGTTCTTGACTTTGAAGTTTGAACACCTTTCTAAAATATATTAAACTTTCTCCTTGACCTTAACTTTTGAATAAATGGTGCTAGGGCTTTTATATTTTACATGTATATTTCTTATGACAAGACCTTACTCTGGATGCCGTATAAACCTTTTGCCTTGACCTTGGAATTTCAACCACTTTTAAAAAATATCAACCTTGTCCATAACTTTTAAATGGCTGTTGCTTCGGTTTTCATATTTCATAGCTGTGTACTCTAAGACAAGCCCTTTCCCTTGGTAACAGCATTTTTGAAGTATTGACTTTGGAGTCTGACTTGCATTTCAGAAACTTTTAACCTTCGCCATAAGCTGCAATACGAGAGCATCAGCGTTTCACAAATACATTTTGTTTGATATGAAATTTGGCCCAAAAAGAATCAAAAATGATTCCCCCCCATAAAATTAAAAAGTGTTACAGCAATTGTATTGCTTGAGAACAAAGTACATAAACAAGCATTTGACAACGCTTAATACAAAACTAAAACATTTAATGATCCTAAGAACAAAAATGACAACTTTTAAATGAATTAAAGATATTTTTACTCAGCTGAAAAGACAGTCGATGGGGAACCTTGGGCAACATAAAACTATTTTTGGAATATTTTCAATCAAAAATTGGAATATAACATATCCTTTTTGAAAATAAAGAATCGAGGCGTAAATTTATTTGACATTTAGTTCAGTCAGCGGCATCGAAAATTAACTTTGCATTTGATTATGCAAACATAATAAATATTTGGAAAACACCTATAAATTATTTAGTGATATTTTTGGTCTACCACATCTTAAATTTAATGAATTCTAACTAAATTTCATTCTTGTTCTAATATTGTTCTAATATTTTTGTTCAATTCAAAAGCAAAGGATGAAAAAAATTATTATACTACCTTAACATTTTTAGTGAAATCTTGTTTCTTTATTTGAACATCAGTTAAAGGAAATAAAATAAATTATTAATTTTAACAAATAATTCATTTTCGAATAAAACGCACGAAATTACTAAAATGTGATAAGAGTTTATGTTATATCAGATCAACTTTCAATACGATATAATGTACCGATTTATAAAATTAACAGTCCTTATTTTTTTCTTATAAACTGTCCGCTATCTTTTATATACGATTAAAAGTATTAAATAGATTTTAAATTGTTTAAAAAAAAAATTAAAAGTAACAGCTAAATATAATATTAAGTAATATTATATTCAGTTGTTACTTTTTTTTTTTTTTTTAAACAGGATGTACTCGTACTTGGGTTTTTCTTGTAAATCGTTATGATTTAACCGCTTTTCCTTCCATAAATTTGAATTATTTTCGATTTAATATCTTTTTAATACTTTTATTCTTCCATTCATAAATGAAAAAAGATGGCGGAAATATATAAATATATTTATTTCTTGGGGGATGTAAATGCCACATTTGTAAATGAATTTGTACAATTCAAATTTATTGAAGGAAAAGCGCTTAAATCATAACGATTTACATGAATTCCCCAAATACATCTCTGTTTGCATAACATTGGGTTTTTTTAAGACAAAGAGGACATTAATTATTTCTTTTAGTTACATGTAATACCCTCTTGTTTTATCATATTTTTTTTTTACTTGTATCATATTTGAAAAAAAATTATATCTTAGAATATTTATCCTAAGAATTAGGATTATTCAATGAATGTTTCAATTGTAACAGTTTTAGTTTAGTTTAAACCATATTTTATTTAAGGTGAAATTGATTTCTATAGATATTCAGTATTTAAAATGTACTTTTACAGCAACATTTATCACAATTACACTTCTACCTGCAATTATTAAACTTTCAACTAAAGAGTTAAGGAGGACATAAAGGTCTATCTGATTAATGATCATTTGTATATTGTATAAGCATCTAATAATAATTATGTTTTTTCATATTCAGATTACACATTTATATAATATACTTCTTCTAAGAGTACCTGTAATTACCTGTAAGAATTTTCTTTGTGAGAAGTTTTAAACTTGTGAAAAATAAAACAAATGTAAACTCTCATTCTAAAAAATATAAACAAAACGAAATAAATAAGGGTTTGATTTTTTTCTATTTTAAATAAATAAATTATTAAATAAATAAATAAATAAATGAAAACTTACTTTACGTTCAACCCTCACGTTTTATTTTTCAAATGTAAATATATTTGTTTCAGTTTTGAAATATTGTGTAACAATTTTACTCAGGAATGTGTAACAATTGTATGAGGTTGATGATTATTAATTATAATCCATTTTGATTGACATTGGAACCTGCCCTTTTTACACAGTTGTATAAATCGCGCGTATATAATGAGATCGAAGTCAGTGATACAGTGGAAAGTTGAGAAGGACGGAGATATTTAATAGGAAGGTAATATCATTTTTAATATTTTCTCATATATGTTGACATATTACCCACATATAAATATATATAACCCATGTTTTAACTAAACATGATTATACAATTTTGACAAATATTATCGTCATGGTATACATTCATAGAAGATAAAGGGGGGAAAAACTAAGTCAACTGAATTCTTATCTTTTGCTTTTTGTCTAGAATAGTAGAAACCTGAAACCTTATACCCGAAATTATTTTGAAAATAGAAATAACAGTATCAAGATTATAGAATGTGCATGTATGTTTTTTTTTTGGGAGGTGGGGTGGGAGGGGGGGGGGGTAGGTTCTCTCCCTCCTAAAGTCAACTTGCTTTCCATGTGCCCCTTGAACGTGAGCTCTGAGCTCTATCTAGTCTTAACTATAGATAATCCGTTTACAAGTGCCAGGAAGTGGAAATATGAGAATTTTCCATTGATAATTAAAAATATGATTTACATTCTCTGATTGTTACAGAACATAACAAGAAGTGGCATTGGCGGTGGGGGTGGAGGTGGGATGGGGATAGAAAAGAAAAGTATGTAATAATTCTAGACCCATGGGGTACAGTACGTGAATAACTGGAGTGAAAATACTTTGAATGATCAAATGGGAGATCAACATTACCACTACATTCAAAAATTTCAACTCATTGCCGCAACATTTCTTCAAAATTTCTGGTAATCATTACCGCTACATTTTATCAATAAAACCACTGCCGATTACAAGTCATTACCATTACATATTGAATCAGCCAGCAATGCCGCATCGTTTCAAGCCACGGTTCGGAGTCTGCATATAACCATCTCCCATAGAATAGGAAAAGATTGTACATGGTTTTTTGACGATGGCAATGCCGCGGAATATAAGCTCTATATATTGTAATTCATTGAAGAAATTTCCAGACAGCAATTTGTCAAGCTCTTCTTATTATATCAAGACTGTATTTTATCCATAAACAATGTTCTGTTTAACATTTTTAAAAATTTTATATTAAAAAATAAAACAGATCTAGAAAAAAAATACCATCCTGCATAGCCTTACTTTCACATCCTCATGGTAAGCAGGGGAAACAAGTCTTATGCATGTAAAGATGCATCAACCAGTGGCCTACGAAAGAGGCAAAGTAGCAGTAGTGTATACTTTTAAATGTAACGGTAATGTAAACTTTTTTTGTTAAAGTAGTGAGCTTGTAGCGGTAATGACAATTTTGAAAGTGTAGCGTTTATGATCTGCACCCTAATTTGCTTTGAAGTGAATTGACACTATTTGCAAACCACCATTATAATGAAAACTTGGTTAGGGTTAAAAATTTTATGCTTTCTGTTAATTTTGTGTCTTTGTAATGTTGACCTTGAGGCTGATTGAATTTGCTTGTTTATTTAATGGTAAATGAAATGAACAAGGGCACCACAAAGCAAAGCATCCTCTCATAAAGAGCATACATGTAATTCAAGACACCATTTGACATCGACATTTGACATCGATCTAGATGCAAATGACGTCACTTCCGTTCCGCACTATGACAATCTAACATACACACACAAACACAGACGACTTCGTTGCGAGGGAATATCAAGCTTAAAGACACTGAATTGATACTCAATACCGAGAAGTGTTTTTAAAACTAAAAATATATGATGAAATACTGTATATATCCTCAGGTAGTCCTTAAATAAATCCGAGATCCCTAATGTAATGCTTTTGAAGCCAATTATCGGGCAAGTGTTCTATTTACTGCATTTTAGACTTTTAATGTTCTATTTTCGAGTTGAAAACCATTGAAATTTCTGTAGCCTCATCTATTCATTCTTATTCCTTTCTTTCTTTTTTCGTCTTTTTTTAAATACTTTTAATGTTCCATGTTTAGGGCTCTTTGAAAAATTATGTCGAGTTAATTTATTAATGACATGCATGGATTATCGATGAAATGAAAAAAGTTGAATTATTATTATTTCACCTAAATATATCTCGTTTAAATAGAACTCAACAAAGACAATATTGTTTATATGCTATATGAAATTTATCTTAATTTCTTTCCTTAAAAGTACATGCAACAAACTCTAAAGAAATGAAAATTCATATTTTCCATTTTTATGGACTAACACTTAAACTGCAGTATATTGAACACTGATATCTCGGATACCACGGGTATGTCAAACTGATTTGGAAGTCCGTAACACTTATTTTTAAAGTCATTTACCCTAGAATTTTTTTTTTGAATCCTCGGATACCACCTTGAAGTTTTTCCTCGCTCCCATCAAGTTCAAGATAACGGAGTTTTACTGTTTATGTTTAATGTTATCCATAATTTATAGACCTGCGTTAGTTTAAAAAGCATAAACTGGTTTATTAGTTCCAAATATCAAAGATAGCAAAAGGTAGGCTTCCTAGGATATATTACATGAGAAATCGTTACATCTAATAATTTTTTTTTTCATCTGATTTTTCGTATCAAACAAAAAATTGAAAATCATCATCATCAATTTTCATAAATAACCAACGTGACAAGAATGTATATTAAAAGACACATGCCTAGATTTATCTACAATCGTTACAGGCTTCAGAGTTTATAAAAACTTAAAGAGGTGATCATAACTCATAATAACTTAACAAGAAAAGATCCCATTCATCACTGTCCCATTTGTGTTAAACAATTACTCTGATTTATTGATTAAAAACTATCATTTACCTTAATTAGCAAAGTTAAAAGTTGACGTTTCCGCAACACCGCAAATTATACTCTGTCTATCAACAAAAATATTTAAAGTCGTGTTAGGGAGCAGACACAGATTCCAGGAACAGATGAGGGGTTGTGTTCGATTAAAATTTTGAAGAATTTACGCCCATTAATTTGAATAAACTAAAATAACTCATTGTTAATAGAACATGTTGAACAAATTTAAGTCTTCAGATTAAAAAAAATACAATAAGATTTATCATTATGGTTTCAATTAATCAATAAAAATATTTAGACAAAGTACTAGTATACAAAGTGAATTGCACTACATCATAAAGACTATATTGGGCTGTGGCCGGATCTTAATTTTCAAATATTAGGCTTCATGAGTTGACATGCATTTAAACCTCAAAGATTTCCAGAATGCAATTATTTATACATGCGTGTAACAGTACTTGCATAAACATTTTAAATATCTTTCATTAACAATGATTCCATTGGTTTTGTGCTGGACCAAATATTTTCTTTAGCCTTGACTCGTAAAAAAATTATTTGAATTACCAATGCCAAAAAATATACGTTTCTAATTTCTTATTTTCAATCATCTTTAGTGTACACAAGATTGCGGCAACTTTTAAATGTTCTATTGATAATAAAACAAGACGTGTTTGTGAAACATTGATACACTATGCAAAGAGGTAAAAAAAAAAAAAAATTTTGTACTTCAAAAAAAAAAAAAAAAAAAAAAGAAATGTCCATTTCCCAAACACGAAAATTCTTGTATCAATAAATACATCTTTTTAACCTATACTAAGACGTGAATTATGAGAGCCCAATTACGAACCGTTCAAGAGTAATGGCCAAGGTTATTTTTTTTTCTTAAAGTGGGTCCACTCCATTGTCAAGGTCAACATTAATTAGATGATTTCATAAATATGAGTTAGCTTTTCAAGTGATGAGCTCTGTACGAGATTGTGTTCAAACTCCATCAACTTATTATAAAACAATGGTTCTTTCAGTAAAAAGAAAATTCAATAACCATCCCATTTTATGATAATTTTTTCTCTGTACTTTGACAGATGATGTTTGCCTTTGTGGTTTTGGTGACAGCGCTCACTGTCGTTAACGCTGACCCTGGACACATAGGAGAGACACCTCTTACCAAGGTCCTGTCATCAAACAACAGTACAGCAACAGAACATGCTGAAACTAGCCAACTCTACGATGGTCATGAGCATAAAAAATCTGATCTTTCTACGTTAAAAGCCAAGGGTGAAGTGAAGATACCTCTGGATCAGAAGCTTAGACTCAAAATTGCTATCATTAACAAACTCACAGAAAGGTTGCCAATGGAAAAGAAGAAAAACTTCACCAAATCCTTTATGAATCTTCTCTTGAAACAAAAAGACACAAATCAAACATTATTAGCTGCAAAATCTGCAGATTTGAAAAACATAGTAGAAAGTAAGACAGGGGAAGCAGAAAAAGGAAACAATGGGACAACGGCAGTTTATACTGGTGTTACATTGAACACAGATACTGCCGAAAATTCAACTCAGTCTCAAAAATCTACATCGTCAGACATAAAAACAAATGAAACTCCAGTTCATCAATTGGATAACGTGATGAATAAAGATATAAAGGGAAAACATCGAAGGACGAATTCCAGGGAGACATCACCGAGTCACGCACTCTTATTTGAGATTGATGAAGACGTTCAACGGAAGAGAATCAATTCGGATGAAAACGACGACGATGTTGAGGACGACGAAGATCAAGATGATATTTTCAATCAAATTCTCTTTTCGGACGAAAGTTTATTTGGTATTCAACCTGTTCAACAATCAGAATCTATTCAACAAAGAGAACCTATTCAACAAAGTAGAGTCGGACAACAAAGAAGACCCATTCAACAAAACCAGACCCCTAATACATGGCAGCAAAGACCACAAATATTTCCAAATAATGTCGTCGCAAACTCTTTGGAAGGAACTCCCAATATAAATACAATTAGACATTTAAGTGATATCAATGACCCAGAACAAGAAATCAAAAGACTGGAAAGGTTTTTAAACTTTGCTGAAGGTTTTGCACAGACTGGAAATGATCGACTGCCTTCCATTCAAAGTGAAAATGATCTTTTTGAGGCCTTCAATGACGAGAGTTCTTTTTTAAATAGTCTTCAAGGCAACTTTCAAATTATTGATGAACATGACCAGGATAGCACAGAAAATAATGCAGTCCAGTTTGGTGGTCGTGGAAGAGATTTTTCACAAACAAATATCCCACGTGATGGCAGAAGACCAGCAATTGCAAGAATTAATGGGATTAGTCAACTGCAGGAAGAAGATAGTGGTGAAGAAACAAATAATGAAATCGTTAAGTCACTAAAGAACGACGTACATCGATTCCTGAGTGGAACTTTCCAATCCAAAGAAAATAAGGATTTAGAAGAAAACAGTCATTCTAATAACAATCTTGAACCGGAGAGCAAAGAAGAAGATGAATCTCTGCCTGGTGTAAGAAATGTATTTCGAATATCCGAAAGAGATAGAATTGCGCCGAACTTAATTGCAGCGGTATTACATGACAATAGGAATCCAGACGTCAATGTCCCGAGATTTAACAACGAAAGACAAATGCAGGAAGAAGACAGCAACGAAGATAGGGAAAGTAAAATAACTGGCAATGAAATACATATATATCAGAATAGAGATTCACAAAGTTATGAATATGACAATTTTGACAAAAAATCGGAGGGTTCTTACGAAAGCTCCAGAAAAAGTAAATCGGGGAGTAGTGAAAAAAGATCCAGTGATGAAAAATCCGGTGAATCTAAAAGTGGATCCAGTTACAGCGATTCAAGGAGTAGAGAACAGGACTTCAGTGGTGAAAACTACGACAGTGCTGACAAAAGTCACAGCAAAAGCAATTCAAGAAGCAAAGAACGCGATTCAAGTAAAGACAGCTCAGAAAGTGGATCAAGTGGAAGTAATTCAAAAAGTTCTGAACAAGAATCCACAAGTAAAAGCAGCTCGGAAAGTGGATCAAGTGGAAGTAATTCAAAAAGTTCTGAACAAGAATCCAGAAGTAAAAGCAGTTCGGAAAGTGGATCAAGTGGAAGTAATTCAAAAAGTTCTGAACAAGAATCCAGAAGTAAGAGCAGCGAAGACTCGGAAAGCAGCGAAAACAGTAAACAAAGAAGCAAGTCATCCGAGGAAAGCAGCAAGGACTCGAAAAGCAGCGAAAGTAGCGAAAATGGAAGCAAGTCATCCGAGGAAAGCAGTGTAGACTCTAAAAGCAGCGAAAACAGCGATGAAGATAGCAAGTCATCCGAGGAGAGTAGCGAAAGTAATGAAGAACTACCGCAACAAATCAATCCACAACGCTATCCTCCAAAGAAAAATAATGATCTACCACTTAACAACCCCAAACCAGAAAATATATATACCCCTACTCTGCACAACCCCAAACCAGAAAATTTATACACTCCTACTAAGCCCAAGGACCGAAAAATATTTGGCCGCGAACCCGAACCCGATCCACCAAAAGAAACCCAGGTAAACTGGGACTATTTAGATGACAACAATTTCGGTAACCTGAATCTCTATCAACCAATTAACGATGACCAAGACCTACTCGATGCAATCCTAGAAATAGAAAAGAAAAATTATGGTATTGAAGATATGAAATCAGACTCTTCGGAATATTCAAAAGAAAGAAATTACTACAAACCAAAAAGATACAAGGGGTATACCCAGTATTCTGATGACCGCAAAACATACAAGAAATCTCAATATATTGATAACCGCAAAATATACGGAAATCGAAGAAAGTATTCAGGTTATTCATTTTACAGACCTAAATACGTGTACGGTCAGTCGAAATATGCTGGTGATAAGCTGAAACTAACAGACAAAGAACTATACGAATTAAACCAAGTATATAGAGCTAGTAAAGGACACAGACCAGCGAGGGTTGTTCGAACCTGGAATACCCACCACTACCCAGCTCTTGTAGAAAGAAATAGACAAGTAAGGGCCTATTTGTTAGGTGAAATTGGAAACGACAGTCTAAGCACGTATGGGAGAAGGGGACGACAAGGCAGGAGGGGGTATGGCAACAGAAGAGGTATACATTCAACAAGACAGTCGTATGGACGATTTGGCAGAAGACGAGGTTTAATGAGAAACAAACATCCTGTAATTGAATATAGAGTCTATCACTGGAGAAACAACCACCCTTTATTTGAAAATAGAGACTATTATTATCCAAATATCCAGCGTCGACGATAGTTCACCTGAACTTCTCTGTTTGATACTCCAATGTTTACTGGTTGTTGGCCTATTTTGTATTTTGATGCATAACATTATCCATTTGTATTTATTTTGTGGTTAAATAAATCCTGTTTGCTTTTTTATATATAATTATGCGGCTGTTGTAATTACTTTTGAATAATCGAACGTACAGGTCCGTTTAATGCTCGTTATTAAAATGTTTAATTATGACGTAAATCATCAACAAATAAAAAATGCAGAAGAAAAGTTTTAATCCTTTGAACAATATTTTATTAAGGTATTTTACAGCTGTAGATTTATGATAACTTCACCAATATTGGAAAAACTACAGGGCCCAATCTAGAATGAAATTGTAGAGTCAGAAAATTACTCAAAAGAAAGTATTCAGTTTTCAAAATTCATGCACTCGTAATCGTAGATTCGAGGTATAGAGTTTTTTTGTCCTGTCCATCCGTCTGTCCGCAAAAACCTAAACCCTGGTCATAACTGTTCATTGGTTTGAGCTATGGCTTACATATTCAAGTGTTTTCCTTTTGAGGTGACCTTCCTTTGGGTTCCACAATCATACGCGTGTATTTGATGTTTTGACCTTTGAGTTTTTCCCATTTTTGCAAAAATTTACGCAACTTTAACCTTGACTATTACTTCTGTACAGTTGTGCAATGGCTTTCATACATGTATTTCATCGTGACAAGACCTTTCCACGGGTGAATTTTTCTTGACCTTAACAGTCGATCCCTTTTTTTTTTGAAAAAAACTAAAACTTTGGTCTTAACTTTTGAACATGTATATTCTTGGTGACATGACCTTCTATTGGATACCAACAATTTAAACTTAGAGCATAAGACTTCTATATTTTGCATTTGCACATGTATTCATATGACAAGGTCTTCCACTTTGAGCTTGGAGTTTGAATACTTAGAAGGATTGGTGTTTGGGCTTTCAGATTTACCAAAAATACTAGTATCCAGCACTGAGCCATATTTAAAGAATGTTTGCTTGCCCTCTCCCGACTCAGGGTAAAATTATTGGGTCGGTAGGTAGGTAGGTGAGAAATTTTTTTTCCGGAAAATTTCAAAATACTTGTTGACGTTTAGAGGGGGAAAATATCGTCCTGGAATGTATGAAAAAGTTACGAGTCAGGCCATTTTAGTCAGTCAGTCGGGAGAGGGCAACCAAACATTTTCTTTGAAGATGGCCTTGAGACACGTCCTTTCTTCTCGTTACAAAGTTTTTTGATCTTTTGACCCTGGAATTTGACTTGCATTTGAGAAACATTAACATTCGCCAAAAGCTGCCAAATTAGGGCATCAGTGTTTCACAAACACATATTTTTTTTCCTAAAATGCAAGTCAAACCCCAAGGTCAATAGATGTGAATAAAAATCGTAGTTGAAATATTATGGCGAATGTTAACGTTTTGAATAATGGTCAAATGTCAAGGTCAAGTGGTAACAAGAGGCCCAGGGGCCACATCGCTCACCTGAGCACATCAGCTAGGAAAAAGCACAATCCGATCAGAACTGAAAAGTTTACTGAGGGGTTGGGGGGGAGGAGGGGGACGGGAGGGGGCTTGAATTCTAATACTACCTGAAAATGCCTCCATATCGATATTGCATATAACTTTCAAGAAAGTTCTTGAGAAAAAGATTTTTATAGATTTTTTTAAACATTTTGTTGGATATATTATTTTGTAGTAATTTGAATTTGACTCCCCATTGTTTCCCTCCCTACCCCAAAGAGTACTTATGATTTGAACAAATTTAAATCTTCAATACATGAGGATGCTTACATGTAAATATGACTAAACATAGCTTTTCTGTTATGTTATTGGGATTTTTCCCTTTATTTTCCTATGAAAAACTTTGATTCACTATTGAGACCCTTCCTTATCCTTGGAGGTTATGATTTGAACAAATTTAATTCTACACTACCTGAGGATGCTTTCATATAAATATTACTAATCATGGCTTTACAGTACTTGAGAAGAAGATTTTTAAAGATTTCCCTGTATATTCCTATGTAAAACTTGAATCAGTCATTGTGGCCCCACCCTACTCCCGGGGGTCATGATTTGAACAAACTTGAATGTACACTACCTGAGGATGATTCAACATGAGTTTCATCTTTCCTGTCCCTATGGATCTTGAGGAGAAGATTTTTCAAGATTTTTCCTATATATTCCTATGTAAAACTTTGATCGGCCATTGTGGCCCCACCCTACCCCGGGCAAAGTCATGCACACAATTAATTAACAAACTTGAAAAATGTAAATATTTGAGGATTTTGATTCCACATGAGTTTCATCTTTCCTGTCCCTATGGATCTTCCAGGAGAAGATTTTTAAAGATTTTTCCTATATATATTTCTGCATTTGTAAAACTTTATTAAGCCTTATAGTTTTTTGGTAATAGCCTGCACCCATAACTTTTACCGGGTCATGATTTGAACAATTTATGTCGAATTCACATCTAAGCAATGCTTCCATTAAGTTTGCAGCTTTGTTCTGCACAGCAAGTTTGCTCATTATAAGAAGATTTTCAAAGATTTTTAAATGTATATTTCTGTGTAAAACTTTTCATTCCCCATTGTGGCCAGATTCAGCATCCCAAGCCTGGTAGTCATGATTGTATGAACAATTTAGAATCTACACTATCCTTGGAAATACTTCCACAAAAGTTTCAGCTTTTCTGACCCAGTGGTTCTTAGAAGAAGATTTTTTAATCCGACCCCACCCTATTTTTGTCTTTAAATGTATCATCCATGCAAGTTTGGGGGACTTGGCCCTTTGTTTTAATAATTTAAATTCCTAGCTTCACCCAAAACTTTTTGTTCACCAAGTTTGGTCAAAATTGGCCTAGTGGTTCTTGAGAAGAATCATCCAAAGTTTGAAAAGTTATAATTACTTGGAAATGAAACTTGCACCAAAAACTTTAACCTGTTCACTCAACCGCAAAATGTGATCAGAAAAGCTCACTTGAGCCCGGCTCAGGTGAGCTAAAAATGTTAAACTTGATAATTTTGAAGGACTAGGGCTTTTTACTTCATATATGAATTCCTTGTGACAAGACCTTTGTTCAGATACCATCAAGGCCAGCATTTTTTTATTTTTAGGTTTACGAACATCAGAATGAAAAAATCCCGTAGGAGGAGGAAATAAAAAAAAAATAAAAATTTTTTTTTTGGATAAGTTATCGACTTTTGTACAATAATTTTTCTTCTTTTTTTATGCTTTCCTAACAGGCTCCATGCCACTGGACGTATAAGGATTATAAAGGGGAAAATAGAACCTTTGTTTATTGCATCATCTACCAGTTGGGGCCAGTGATATATATATTTTGTTATGTTGAACAAAATACAGATATTTTAAAAAAAAAATTTTCAAAACTCTTTCAATATATCTTCATTTTTGTTTTTAATATGTTTTGGTAAATGTGTAGAAATTGTTCTAAAATATACTTTAGACCTAAAATAATAATTCCTTTCATAAAACAGACAGGGAGTACCTGGGGACGCCGGGAGCCGAGGGTAATTTTTTTTTTAATTAAGGTGAGCTAAAAATAAATGATAATTTGGGCGATAAATTCTCTTCGTTTCTTAGATAATTTCATTATTTGTATATAATACTTGTTTTTAACAGTTGAAGTATTTTATTTCTTCCTGGCTCTCTGTTTATTTCTTCCTCAAAACATTAACTTTTCAGCTAGTAACTTTTGATTACATCTGAGGCTATGGCATTCATGTTTCACATGTGTATTCCTTGTGATTAGACCTTTCTTTGGGTACCTTCAAATTTGACTTTGGAGTCTGACCAAGTTTTGCAAAATTTTATCCAACTTTAACCTTTGCCATAACTTTTGAATTTACAGCTAGATACTTTTGAATACTTCACATATTATAATTTTTAACCAGCATGTCATTGTGCAATAAATTCGTCAGCATTTTATTTGTCCTCTGAACTTGTGAAACGTTTTGAATTTTAAAAAACTTTAACCTTGGCCATAAATATTAACATTAAACAAAGCTTTCATTCTTTATACTTTGTAATCCTTGTGACAAGCCATGTTCATCTAAAACCGGAAGTAATTTGACCCTTTCAAATCTTGACCTTGGAATTTGACATCTTTTAAAGAAAAAAAACTTGTTTTTCTCAATTTTATTTTTTACTTCATATGAAAATTCAAAAACTTGTGACAAGACCTTTGTAAACCTAAAAATAAAAAAATGCTGGCCCAACTTTGACCCTTTTATCTTGGCCCGCATATAAAAATCTTTAACCTTAGCCAAAACTTTTTAACATTTGGTGCTTTCATATTTCACATTTTATGTCTTGTGAGGAGACCTTACTTTAGGTACCAACATATTTGATTTGCATTTGAGAAAGTTTAACCTTCACTATAAGTTGCAATATGGGAGCATCAGTGTTTTACAAACACATCTTGTTTCTTTCATAATATTTCTTCATAATCTTTATTAATTCAAAAATTAAATGCTACTGCAGATAATCTTCCAATAATAATCCAGAAATGATCTTGGTCAAGGACTTGTAACATCTGAGATGTACAAAACTAAATTTAATGTTTCTTTAAATCTAACACTTGGAGCATTCCTTTTCCCTTTTTCTGAGGCTGGAAAAATAATACACAACATACAGTAAGAAAATTTAATATTTAAACCTTTCATTTGTATCCATACAAGAAAAGTTTTACCATAGGTTCAATTATTTATACAAAAAGGTCACATAAAACTTAAAGAGGGTTCACTTTTCACAGTGTTGGTCTATATTTCTAGAAGATCATATCTTGAGAATGCAAAATATTACAAGTCTAATTACAAATAGTTAATTTAATAATAGAGTGCACAACAAGGGATACATATCACAGAATTTGTAACATCAACCCAAGATTGTTTATAAACAAAAGAAAAATACATAGCTGAATCTCTCATCATCAAATATACTAGTATACATTTTTTTTCTTTAAGTTTTTTAAAAATATTTCTATCATTTCTTTGAGTAACAAAACATTTTCCAACAACTTTTAGAAGAGGAGTAACAAAATAAACCATTATGCCCTTTGCTGAATGCAACTCTTGATTATCTTTAAAATACTTTGAAATTAATTTAAAAAAAGGTCGCTAAATATAACATCATAAAATATCTACAAT